AGGATTTCCAACACCATTTTAAAGACATGTATAATCTCCCAAATTGTAATTACTAGTTTATGAACAAATTAGTCTCTGCAGCAAAACATATGCCATACAATACTAAAGAAAAGTATTTGAAAAGTGCATCTAACTGTGAGACATTCAGCTTCTGTTCCCACTTAAAGCTAAACTATACTAAAATTATAACTTTGAATTATTCCTTTGATGAACTGGTAATATGGATGCCCAACAAAGGATGGTAATCTGTACAGCCATTACTTAAGAAGTTCTTTTGTGCAAAAAGACTATTCAATTTAAGATGTTAATTCCACTATTCTTTAAGTTTTATTCCCAAGACAGAATGCAGAATCAAGACGGTTGCGGCTATGGGGACAAGTGCACTCACTCACTCTTCACAGCTACATTCTTTAGCTCAAAATATTTGAAGCAACAGAAGATTTCTGGACAAGTTAAATATAACCATGATTATGGTAATTTGGAAAATATATGATTGACCCGTAATATATACTCAAGTCCTATTTTTGTTTCTATTTGGTTCTTGTAAAAGCTGGTTAATGTAAGAAATGGACATATCTCAAAATTAGAGAAATGTCTTTACAACTTTGATCGATGGGGTTCATTATCTTTAGGGTTAAAAGGCTGAAGCTAATGAGTTTGTAACAATGTGGTCTATTTAGGTGGACTCAAAAATTGTAACAAGGTTCTCTGTTAAATAAAAATGAAATTTCTACACATTTCCTCCATCTATCTTGAACATAATTGATTCTTCTTACTCAGCAATTCCTTTAAGCATCAAGTATATCTATGGCACATACGTAATAAGGTCTACTGTATTGCATACATTTTACATTCTACTATAAAAGCCAAGAAAACTGTTATTCTACACTGATTGTTCTTTCATACATGTACACACATAGGGGTAAAATATCCTACTTGTTACAATAATTAAAACTCAAGCATTAGGATGCTGATTATTGACCGTAATCAACATATGATCATTAAGACACACTTACTGTATCCGCACAAGCACACTTTCATAGAAGGACAAATGCGGAGAAAAAAATTCTGAATTATCTAAAACTATAAACCAGTTAACTATTTACTGCCTTGTTTTAATTTAATATTTTCTACTTAATATCCAAAAATCAATTAAACATTTAGTGATTTTTCAGATTGTTAATTAAAACAAAACATTAGAAAGAAGGCATTGGGAAATAAGCAATGATCAAATTAAAAACTGAAATGGCAATATATTAAAACTTTGCAATTCAACATAATTCAATGTGCTAGATATAATAGACTAATAATATCAACAAAGTTGAACCACGTTTACCTCAATGATTTATCTCCAGTGACCAAATTTGCACGAGGTTTTGTGAGAGCTAGGCTAAAGGTAAAGCATCTGGCAGTGTATTGCTCTGTTAACTTAATGGTCTCTAGAGTCGTAGCATAAAACAGCTTGTTAGTTGATTGGTTTATTTTGGGGGGGAGAGGGGTTATCTTTGCTTGAGTTTCAGCCACGATGCTCACTGGCACTCTTGGTGTGCTAGAATGTATGAGCCACAATGTGCATTAGTTCCAGGCCCCTACTTGCAGGTGAATGCCAAAAGAGAGGTGCTAAGGCCATTGCTGGAGACCAACTTTTAAAAAAGGCCGTTAAACCTTTATTCAAACAAACAACATTGCTTTACTGATACATCAACTATCACAAATCTCCTGGGGGGGGAGAGAAGAGACTGAGTCATGACAGAACTCTTCCAGAAACTTCTAAGAGTCCTTAGCTGTCTGACCCCATCTCCATACCATCCTGGAGTCTCCCCATATGAGAGAAAAACACAATAGTTGTGGTTGGGAACAATCTTGGAGTCAAATGTCTATGACAAGTCTTTTAGAACAACTGCCTTCAATACTACTGACAAGGTGTTGACACACTTGAAGATTCTAGTAGAGTTTACACAGTTACTCTTAACGAGGTCTGCCTGCTGTTTATTAGTAGGACTAGCAACCTCTCAAAGTGGAATGTAGGGGGGTAGTAGACACCCAGCTGCTTCTGGATGCCCACTTGGCAAGAGTCTAGGGATCTCTTGCCATCATCCATCTAATCTTAATAGTAAGCGTTGCTGTATAATCCAAGCACTTCTGAAGTAAATTAAATCTATCTAAATTTGGCAAGAGGTTTGGGTCCTTTTGTGATGTGGTCTTCACACTTACTCATGAGACCTTGTCACCTTGAGTCTGGATTACTGCAGTATTCTCCACACAAGTCTATAGCTTCAAGATATGTGAAAATTACAGATAATCTAGTAAAACACCAAGATCTCACACGACACCACGGGAACTCATGAGGTGCAAAGACGGCACTAGCTTTAAATTTACTTCCAGTTAATGTGCTGGTTTTGACTTATAAAGCCTTAAATAGTTTATGTTCCTTCTATTTAACAAACTGCCACTCTATATATGATACAACACAGCAGTTAAGAACGAAGTTTTAACTGGAAGGAGACTAGCAAGAGGGGCAATGAAACGGACAACCAATAGTGGAAGTTTGTGACTGCTGCAGACAAAACTGCACCTGGGACTACACAAACCACTCTGGCAAGAGATGAGGGGCCATGAAAATTTCATAACAAAATGCAAACCTCATGAGATTTTCTCTTAATTTCTTCTCGTATCAGTGTGGAAAATACTCACCCACTCATACATTTTTGTATGAAATAATGAAACTATTTCTTCGATACGTTAAGAAAGAAGGAAAAAAGAAAATGAGATTAAAACGAAAACCACTTAGGAGGTATTCAGTTATATAAATATATATATATGAGAGCCATACAAGCACCTCAGTTACCTACATAAATCTACCCTTTCCTTTTCAGTCACAATAGTATCCAGGTACCACCACAGGGTTCAATCAATCACTTATACCTGGAATATATTCCCACCTCTCAATCACTGTTCTTAAGCTTGTTACTGCAGGAATGCTTCTATGAAATGTGGGTTTGCACCACACTCTGAGAACTGTCAGAGTAGAGCTCATTTGGATCTACTGTGGGGTGATGACACACTGGGTTCCATCATGGAAGAGAAGGATTCCAACTTCTAAAATTTTCCCCTGGGATCAGACAGCTTCAGTGGCCCAATAAGCAGTTAGTCTCAATGAGTAAGAGTGGTCTTGACCCCAAATACAGGGAATCTAATCTTGAGGTGAATAACATATGGACCACAGTCACTAGACAGGGTCCTCAGAGCAAGAGCCATTGAATCCTGGCAAGCTGGAGACAGAAGTTGGTATTTTTGGCTACTGCTGCTACCTAGATAACAAGGAGCACTGATTAATCTAGTAAAATAACACTGCTTCAGACTCTGTCTGAAAGGCAAGTGCCTTCAAATGAGTGCAGCTATTGTGTTGCTAGTGTCTTGATTAGCTCCTTGAAGCGTTTCCTATCTTAGATACTATGGTGATGAGTGCTGTAGAAAAAAATTGAGTGTAATTTTTCCTATTCTTCATAACATCATTTCCACTGGATTAAAGTGTAGTTCCATTCAACACAACTAAAAATGTTACTATGTGCTTCTGTGTTTATTATGTGTGTCTGATTCCATAAGGACACTACAAATTACAAGTAAATATTTTCTTAACCGCCAGTCATGAAAATGTAAGAGTTAAAAGTCAGTCGTGGTTCTCTTCCCATGTATTAGCCACAAAAATTAGTAAAGATTCTACAGGCCAAGCAATACCCACAATTACACGTGCAACTCCATTAGCTTTTCTGTTACTAAACAATCCATTACCTTTCAGCTCAAACAAGCAATGAAATAAAAATATTAACACTTCATTTATTCATAAAATGCTGCTTTAGTTGCATGCAAATGACATCACATTTTCCATTATATTTGCACTTAATGCTAATGAAAGTGCTGGACTGAAACTCTGGACAATGTAATTTATCCATAAATAAATCTCCACGAGCAGTGACAGTGAAAGCTTTCCAAACAGCTTAAATCATGCAAAAAAGCCAACTACTAAAATTATATACAAATGAAGATTTTAGAAAAAATGTGTAGTTACTGAACACAACAAAATATGGTTACAAGTCAACAATTAAAGAGTTGACAGTAAATTACTGTTACGCATAGGTCAAAAAAATTATAAACCTATATTACATTATTACTTGAAAAATAGTAACTTAAGATCAAAGACTCAAGACAGGAATGTGATAATCACACAAGGGGACAGAGTTAAGGTTACACATGGAACCACAACCATGACATTCTCATATCTGAAAGCCTAATATTCCCTCAAAGTACTTTTTATGAAATTTCCTAGGCAAAATATTTTAATTAAATTAATTAATTTTAATTAAATTAATTAAATTAATTAATTAGGCCAGGACAGCCTTTGATTCACTCTGAGCATACCTTGAACTATTAGAAGCTCATGTGAGAACACAATTAACCATGCAAATCACTGTGCTCCTATGGAGCCCTTGCTCACTGCACAATTTCAGAAATACCCACATTCCCAAGTATATTTATCTACCATACATGCAGGCACAACCCAACCAATAAAAATATCTCTATTTCAGTTACTGTGCATGTGCAAAATGCAGTTTTCAAAGCCTCCTAACTCCCAAATCTCAAATTTTCACTGAAATACTCAATGGCTCTTCTTCATAAAGGTTCGTTCCATTCAAAATTTCAACTTTCTACCCTCAGGTTAATGGATGTATACAAAAAAAAGTTTTTTAAAATGATTGGGAGAGCATCTCCTTCCCCTCACCACATAGCCAACCATCTCACTCTTCCTTTTCATACTCAATAGCTGAACCATTTTAACAAAGTCTCTCTCCAAAATTTCATTTTTGGATAAAAATCTGGCTTGCAACATTTCAGTATAATAAATCTACTATAAAAGTTACAGCAATACCAGAATGTTTTTCTTATTTTTCCTCCTTTAATCAAACATCATGAACTAAACACTAAAGATAACAAGACTTTACCTGGGATTCCCTCTTAGTGCAGCATGATGGAGAGCATTAAATCCATTATTGTTTGTAATAGTAACATCTGCCCCAGCTTCTAACAGTACAGCCAGGATGTCATCACGCTTTTTACTTATCGCATCATGAAGCGGAGTATCTCCTTCAGAATCCTAAAAATAGAAATTATTTTCTTCAGCTTCCACATTTACCTATTTAAAAAGGAAATTTATGGGAAAAGAAGGTCTCACATGTCACTATAGGAACTAATGAGATGCAAATACAAGATAACTTTTAATACCATTTTCCAGCACTTACAATTATAACTTCAGTCCAGGCTGCACACTTATACTGCTTTTTGGTCAAAATAGTTTTTGGTGAAGTTTAATCACAGAACAAGGACAGTCTGAAGGAGAAGTTAATATATATGTATTTATTTATTAATTGTACTACCATAGCATCAGGGACCAGGACACCACACTACTAGACACTACACAAACATAAAACCACAAAATACAGAACAGACTGTCACTACCTCAATGAGCCCACAATCTAAATGTAAGACAGGAAGGGAAGTAGAAGGAAACAATGAGACAATATTAATCAGCATGATAGGTAACTGTCTCAGCACATCAGTGGCCCACTTCACAAGCTTTAAGTAGGTAACATGGCAGAATACAGTTTTAGGGAGGAATTTGGAGGAGGTAGCTTTGCAGCTGTTTATGGGGAGCTCCTGCCCCAATAGCAAGGGGCACCACATGAGAAAGCATGGAGGTGCTTTTTTGAAAAATTAACAAGGGGGTGATTGAGGCTGGAATTATTGGCCTAGCAGAGGCGGGAGCTGACATCTCAATAGTGAATGAGAGATGATAGGTAGGAAGAGGGTAGGACATCAAGGGCCTCGAAAATGAAGACATGTTGTTTATGTTTGATACAATAGAGAGGAGGGAGCCAGTGGAGGGATGCAAAGACAGGCAACATCTCAAAGCAACACATTAGGAGAAAGACATTTGCAGCGGCATTCTGAGTAGATATGATTGGGGCAAGAATGCAACATCAACACCAGGGAAAAGAATGCTGCAATGATTGAGACATGAGTTTATCAGAGTCAGCTCAAAAGTTTTTACTGTGTGGATGGGTAGGAAAGGCTATATCTGAGACATGTTATGCAGAAAAAAAAATCAAGATTTACACATAGGCTGAATGTGAGGACGTACAGAAAGGTCTGAATCAAAGACGACTCCCAGGTTACAGGCCTGAGCAATAGGATGGTTGTGTTGACCACACTGAGTGAAAGAAAGAAGTAGGGAGAAAGGAAATTAAGAGCTCTGTTATAGTCATGTTGAGCTTTAGCTGTCTGCTGAATATCCATGAGGAGATGTCAGAGAGACGCACAGATCTCAGTCTAGACAGACTCAGATCTGGAGTAGAGGTAGATCTGTGTAATCTGCACACAACGAAGAGCTATGCACATTTTTCAAGTATGTAGGCAATTTGTAGTTCAGTATCACCTACAAAGGTCATTAACTGCCATTTTTTCTGCATGTATTTGCTATAAAAAGTGTCATGCATCACAAAAAAGTTAGACATTAAAGCAATTCTTTAAGTTCAAGATTTATAAAAATTCAAATGTCTACTAGCATAAATTTCAAATATATACATAAGTTTAGTCATGTTTGAGACATAATTGCCATACAAAAATTCAAGCTAAAACCTCCTCTAATAAAAATAATATGAACAAAGCAGATCAATGAAAAACGTGCACCCCTCAGGATAGTTAAACTTGTACAAGGTTGTCTTCTTAATGAAGCAAAAGGACAGATTTCATAGGGCAACATTAAATTTTGTAAATAATTTATGGCTAGTACCAACCAGACAATACATGGTTTAAAGGTGCCAGAAATTTTTCAGCACACACCTGACCAAAGAATTTATATTCACTTTTTAGCTTGCCAGGGTTTTAGTTTTGAAAAGTCCAAATTAAAGAAAAAATATACCATTACTCCAAAAGTGAAACAACTTGTGCATAATTTGTTCAAAAACCCAACAATTCAAATTAAAAATAAGTGTTCTATAATGTCTGAAGTAGGAAAATGTGTTTAGTTGAGTTCACTGTGCTGCTGCACAGACACATTCTCAGGATTCATACTTCTGGGTGAAATCTTGCCCCTACTGAAGTCACCAGGAGTTTTGCAATTGACTTCAGATGGGCCAGGATTTCATCACTAGTGCTTATCAATTAGCAGCACACGTCAGCATAGTGTAAAAAGGATCCCTTAGAACTTTTACTGTGGGAATAGCAGACACCAAAATTGAAATATCTGCCAAATTTGGCAGACATCCTGCACTGGCCCACCAAAATGAAATGATATAGTTTACTCATTCCAACTAATCAGATTTCTTGAGCTTATTGTAGGTAGACTAAATTGTTTTCCTTTGTGCAGTGGGTTGGCTTGAGAGTTAAAGAACATGCCAGTTAGCTACAGCCAAGTCCGAACCCCAAATGCCTTCTGCATTCTCATCCATCTCAGTGAAATCAATTGCTTAACTGAATCTGCATTAGATGTCTCTTCAGATGTGCAGAATCTGACAATGTATTACTGTCACAGGGATTTTCTGATTTTCATTGGCTCTGGCTGGTATAATTTCATAGATTCATTGAGTTTGTTGCCAGAAGGGATCAGTAGATATAGTCCAGCCTCCTTTATATCACAGGCCATTTGAATTTCACTGAATTGTCCCTATGACTGAACCAAATAGAACAGGCTGGTTGTTATATCCAACGCTTATAGAAACTGGGGTCTGGATTAAAGTTAGCTACCTGAGACTCTACTTCAGTAAGATGGAAGTAATACTTGTAAATAATACCTCAGCCCTTGTAAGATGGAAGTAGGCAGCCAGGAGGAAATAAACTGAGAAAATAGCAATTGCTACATTATCTGCTTTAAGAAAGTTCTCACCTCTTCTTTCCCAGGTGCACAAATAGGAAAAACGGGTGGAGTTTGAAGCACAAGGATATCCAGATGGCAACAGTAAGTGTGTGTTGTATCATTCATATTTGCCTAAGGCTTTACAACCTTTTCTTTCAGATGTTGACCTCAGCACATTTATCCATCTTTTTTCATCTTTAGCTTTACATGTGCAATGCACTGTGCATGCAGCTATGCTGAAGCTTCAGCTCAGACAGAATGTAGCTGCCTGCTTATTTAGAAGTGTGGTTTTATTTGTTCATTTTTGAGGCAGTATTTCTCCCTTTTGCAGCACCGTTTCCACTAGTTTCCAATTAGTTTACAGAGGCAGTTTTTCCTCCTTGTGTAATATCATAGCAGCAGAGGCTCTATATAACACACTGCATGTTTGAATGGAAGTCTGGTGGCAGACATACTGTCTGATGGATTCAACTCTGGACGTTGTTTTCTACCTTTTTCTGACAGTCTAAATCTGATGGCCTTCAGGTCATGCTGCAAAGCCTCTCTTACCAGATTACATATGTGGGAAAAGATAAGGGGTGCTGACTGGATGAAGAGAGTTAATCTGCATGTTAAACAAACATATTTGTACATTGACCCAATCTATATAGGCTTAAAATATTATACACATGCCTAGAGCAAGAGAGGTGCATTTTAAATCTCAATATGAAATACAGAAAACAATTCAATGCATCAGCCTTAAAAGAAAGATTTATACATCTACATGCAGCTTGCATATACCATACTTGCATAAATCTTACAGTCTGAAGACAAAAAATGAAAGTCAAAATTTGTTTTACCTGGAGACTAGGATGACAGCCAAAGTCCAGCAAGGTCTTTACAACTTGTAAATGACCTTTGTTAACAGCAATATGAAGTGGAGTCTGTCTGCGTTTGTTGCGAGCATTCAAATCTGCACTGCCTCTGTGCAAAACCTCTATCACAGCACCTTCATCTCCAAAAGCTGCATGGTGAACAGCCCTGTCTCCATCTTTGTCCTAAAGTGTAAACATTGATTTAAAACAAATTCCTTTTGTACTACAAAATTATAAAAGGCTTACTTTAAAATGACCAATTAAGGGATCTTTATTGCATTTCCACCATTAGAGAAAAGCCAGTCCATATTTTAAATTAAATTACCTCCGCTTCCACATCCACATTCTGTTTCAGAAGTAATTTCAAAATGTCAACATGTCCATTCTGACTGGCTGCTTGCATAGCTGTGTGTCCAGCACACTGCCCATTCACCTGAAAGTATATTAAGAATGAGAAGTTAACTTACAGTGTACATCAATACATACACATGAACATCAGATATTTACTACCAGTAATATCAGCAAATATCCGTGTTATAAAAACTGTTTATTGTGAAACTTTCATTTCACCTGCACTCTGCCTAAATCATCTCCATCAGGGCTAACATACCAAACATCAGAGCAGCTTTCAAATAATGGAAAAAGAAAAGTCAAGACCATATTTGGGGACAGTACAATCTATTAGGCCTTTTCCATCTCTACACTTCTTATTCATTAGCAAGAATGAAGAAATAACATTATTCTGATTTTTACTTATGCCAAAGTTTAATATTAAATTGCTAGCTTGAAGATTTTAGTCAGGCTGCTGCAAAAGTGGACTCTTAAAGAGAATCAGGTTTCTTGGAAGGGAATCAGTTGTATTCTGCAGAATTTATTTTTCCCCTAATTTATGGTAGGGGACTTATAGCCATGCATGTAGACTCCTTTTTATTGCTTGTACAAATCTGAACTAATTTAAAAATCAAATTAACATTTAAGGCCAGTGATGACCAACCTCTGGACCTCAAAAGCAAATGCATTAAAAAGAAAATATGTATTTGATTGGGAACTGAAACACATTCTAAATCAAGCTGAGCCCTATGATTCTTAAGTGTTTTGACTATAGGAAGGAGGAAGAAGCTTCTTCACTGTCCTGCAAGAACATCAGGAAGAACAAGCTAGCAGCTCGATTGGCTCAGCAGTCTAGGGAAGTGCCTGATGAGGATGGTTCTCCCTACCCCACAAAGCCACTCAGGAGATAAGAGAAGTTAAGGACAGCCACCATTTACGACTACTCAATTCTCTACTTCAACCCTACTTAGAGTAGCTTGAAGGCTGCTCTAATTCATGCCAGGTGGCATATGGCACAAAAAAATATGTTCACTGTGGATGGCTGCAACACAGTGGTTTCTAGCCCCTTCCCTACCTCCAGAGGCTATGGAGCAGAGGGACAGGAACCAGCTATGCCAGCTCTCTGTACACGGGGGATTCATCCATGCAAGGGGAATCCCTAGCAGAGGATTTGGGATTTCTTGCGTTTCCTGTGCGTTAGAAATCACACACAAAAGACACTCACATCCACATCCGGTCTCTTTAGCAAATCTTCCACTTTAGCTACATCTCCATTAGCAGCAGCTTTAACAAGTTCTTCATTGAGGTCCCCAGATTCTTGTGTTTCGAACAGTTTCTTCAAAAGTTGAGACAATCTCTCTACAGATATCAAACAAAGCATGTAAGATCACAACTCCAAACAGAGAACAACAAATTTGGCTGTTTTTCCTATCTGAAGAGACTTACACAAGTAGCTGTTCAATTTATGACTTAGTATAGCACTTCAGCACTACAAAGCTCTAACTCACTGACATCAGTTTCTCATCAGTTCAGAAACTTCAAATTTACTCAAAGATGATCAGTTTCACTCTACAGTTAGGATTCCTGTCTGATTGGCTTTGACAACACAAATAGATGGGACTAGGACTTAGAGGAAAAATGTTAATGATTTACAGGCCGGTGTATTGGATTTCTGCTTTTTTAGAGGAAGTTAACTAAAAATACAGACTTTCCTCCAGGGCTTTACGCACAAAGTGACATGCCAGCTGTACAGTTCATCTTACAGCTACCGCAGCCCTACTGGACAGGCCCAACGAAGAAAATAACACAACACTACTAGCTGTCACCTTCAGCCCCCAACTAAAACCTCTCCAGCACACCATCAAAGATCTACGACCTATCCTGAAAAACGATCCCTCACTCTCACAGATCTTGGGAGACAGACCAGTCCTCGCTTACAGACAGCCCCCCAACCTGAAGCAAATACTCACCAGCAACCACACACCACGCAACAAAAACACTAACCCAGGAACCTATCCTTGCAACAAAGCCCATTGCCAACTCTGTCCGCATATTTATTCAAGTGACACTATCATAGGACCTAATCACATTAGCCATGCCGTCAGGGGCTCGTTCACCTGCACATCTACCACTGTGATATATGCCATCATGTGCCAGCAATGCCCCTCTGCCATGTACACTGGCCAAACCGGACAGTCTCTATGCAAAAGAATAAATAGACACAAATCTGACATCAGGAATCATAACATTCAAAAACCAGTAGGAGAAGACTTCAACCTCTCTGGCCACTCAGTAAAAGACTTAAGGGTGGCAATTTTACAACAGAAAAGCTTCAAAAACAGACTCCAACGAGAAACTGCTGAGCTTGAATTAATATGCAAACTAGATACCAGTAACTTGGGTCTGAATAGAGAGTGGGAGTGGCTGGGTCATTACACATATTGAATCTATTTCCCATGTTAGCTATCCTCACACCTTCTTGTCAACTGTCTAAATGGGCCATCTTGATTATCACTTCAAAAGTTTTTTTGTCCTGATAATAGCTCATCTTAATTAATTAGCCTCTTACAGTTTGTATGGCAACTTCCACCTTCCCTCTGTGTGTGTGTGTATATATATATATATCCGCTTACTATATGTTCCATTCTATGCATCCAATGAAGTGGGCTGTAACCCCCGAAAGCTTATGCTCTAATAAATCTGTTAGTCTCTAAGGTGCCACAAGTACTCCTGTTCTTTTTGCAGCCCTACTGTATCTCTCGCAGGAAATTTTTATGTATTAGGGGAACTGAACTTAGCATTCATCTATAGGAGACAATGGGAGAAAGTATGAGAACTACCCAGAATGTTTTTGAGGCATCAAAGCCAAATATGGCTAGGAGAGGAGACTCAAGGCATGCCCAAAGCAGAAAGCACAGGTTTAATAATAAAGAAGTTTCTCAGAAGTCCATCTCGAAATAAAGAACAGTATGGAGAAGATAGATTGGGTACTTCTATTCTTCCTGCCTCATAATGAAGGTTAAAATTTTGTCACTGTTATTTTTAGTAAAAGTAATGGACAGGTCATGGACAATAAACAAAAATTCACAGAAGCCCGTGACCTGGCTGTGACTTTTACTTTAAAAAAAAGGGGGGGCAACCCCTAACTGTGAGGGAAGGGGGACTAACAGCTCCAGAACACCCACTGCCCCAGGGCACCAGGCTGAAGATGAAGCAGAAAATGTCATGGAGGTCTCTGAAAGTCACGGAATCCATTTTACATCTTTACCTCACTCCCACCTATCATCTCTTGATTGTAAGCTTTCGGAGCAGACACTATTATATATTTTTGCAGTGCTTAGCACAATAGGACTCCAATCCTGACTCAGGGCCGTTAGGCACTATTTCTTTGTATTCTGATAAACAGTGCTTTAGATTTTTAGCTAATAGAGGTGAAGATTACTTTTTTGAGAAGTGGATTATCCCACATCTGCCTACTACAAGGTTTCTTGTACTTTCCTCTAAAGCAAGATACTGGACTAGATGGACAACAGGTACAATCCAGCATGGAAATTCTTTTGCAATAGGAGTATTCCCCAGCCCTCAGTAGGAACTACTTTCCTGGAGATTATTATTCTTGCTTCATATAGGCGCCATACCAATATTTATCATCAATTTTTTTTAAGTTTACACAATTTTATTTATCAAAACCACACATTCCTAAATAGTACACAAACTTACCACCAGATGCATTGCTTATAGCCGATCCTGCTGATGCTACCTTTGAGACAGCTGCTGGATTGTATGTCCAAGAGGTTCCACAAACCTCTACCTTTAAGTCACTGTCTGAATAAATCTGCTGGACACGGCCAACTTTACCTAAAGTCTATATTAAGGAAAAGGAAGAGACCAAGTAAAGATATTTAGATGTTAACATATTACAGCATATGGGCAGTTTTATAAAGTAAAAGGGTTTCTGAAACCCCACTTTAACATCAGTAACATCTTCACCTTAATTCTAACAGGCTGAGTTATAGGCTAGACGGATTGTTAAACTGAGTCTACGCTGCCAAGTGGGGCTTTCCACAGAATCATACTAGCTCAATTTACCTAATTCAACTGAAAAAAGTACATTTTTTTCCTTGTCTAGACAAGTCCTAAATGTCACCCCAACTCCAATAATTTGAAGGTTTAACCATTTCCAAGTGTAATTAAAAATACCATAGCAACATATAGGGCCAGCCCACATTTTGGTACCTGAGGCGAGGAGCTCAAATGACACCCCCATGCCCCCCTCACTTGGGCCAAAACTCTGAAAGGTCTCAATTCTGCCTTCTTCCTGTTCTACTCCCTTTCATGGTACTGCTTTGCTGCCTACCCCAATAAAGGAGAACTAACAACTTAAAATGCCTTCTTCAAAAATTTTAAGTAACACTTAACTTTCAAAAGCCTGAACAGCAAATGTAACTTTTCTTGTCTGCATAGTAAACACTGGCATTTTTATCTGTTTGAATAATCAAAGTGGTCCTTCCCGTGCCTTCTTGGTTGCAAAGATTTGAACTGCTTCCTGAAGGTCCACAGTCTGGGCCAGCTCATGCTCTGTTGAGATGGCTGCAAGGCCGACCAGCCTCTTCTGTGTCATTGTGGAGCGTAGATATGTTTTTATTAACTTCAGCTTGAAGAAGCTGCGTTCTCCACTGGCAACGGTTACAGGAAGTGTTAGAATTATACGAAAAGCAACAAAAGCATTTGGAAAGAGGGTGGTCATCTTATTTGTGAAAATATATTCCAGAACAGCCTTTAGAGTTGATCCTGCTGAAATCTATCTTGAAAAGGCTTTCAGTTCATCACCTAAATCACTCACATCAATATCGCGCATGTCATCTATCATGTGTCAACACTGTCTAGTGCCCTGCATTGCTGGTGTAGGTCTTCTTCAGATACAGTGAGGAGTTTGGGAATATCATACAACATCCCAAATATACTGCTGTGTTCCTTGAGCTTCATGAAACGTTCTTCAACTGACTGTATTGCACAATCTAGCACCTGGTTAAAGAATTTAACTTTGAATTGTTGTTTCGGGTCTCTTATGGGATTATCCCACGCCTCATAATCAAAATGTCGTCTTCTTCGGTGACTCTTGTATTCTTGAATGGGTGGGAAAATAGCTTCAGTGTGAAGTTCCTCTACCAACTTCTGTGCACTCTTCAGAACATTTTGAAATCCCTCATCTGACCGGTAAGACTGTAGGTATGACTTTGCTTTGTCCAGTTGTTCCATTGCTCCAGATATATCAAGGTCAACACCTTGGAGTCTCTTGCTTACAACATTTATTTCAAATAGTACGTCATGCCACAACACTAAGCCACACAGAAATTTGAAGTTATGCATGTTTCTGGTGATTCCATTTCTCTCTGCCACTGTTCTCCCACAACAGTTCCTGTCATAGCATTAGCCTCCATAATGGCAACTATGGCATCATCTATCTTCCCAATTTGGTGTTTGATAGGCTTTATCGCCTCCACTCAACTTTCCCATTGTGTGGCACTCAGTGGTTTCAGTGTCAGAGAGGATGTTCCCAGATGTTGCTTCAAAATTTGCCATCAATGAGTTGAGGCAGAGAAAAATACACAGTTGATTTGAACTACATTAAAAAATTCAGCAGCCTCGCTAGAGGCTGATGCTGCATCACTGACCACCAACTTCAATGAATGAGAACTGCCTGGGACAAAAAAAAACTTGCAGGTTTAACTCTCAGATCCGTTTCTGCACTCCTCTGTTCTTTCCTCTCATGTTGGCACCATTATCGTAGCCCTGAGCTCTCATGTCAGCTATCGCAATTCCTGTATCTTCCAACTTTTTAAGAAGCACATTTGATGATACTATGCGAGCTGGTATGACAATGTCAATAAATTCTAGAAAATGTCCCTGCAATGGTGACTGTCAGAGAGCATTTTCACTAGGTTTTGTTGCTGTTACAAAAGGCACCATTAAAATCATTTGTTCCGTATGGCTGATGTCAGGCGTGCAGTCCAGAATAACAGAGTAATATCTTGCTGACTTCAGATCTGCCACAATCTTCAGTTCAACTTTTGTTGCCAGTAACTGTATGATGTCATTTTGAATTGTTTTTCCAAGGTAGTGGTGTGTCTACATTTCTTGGGTGGTGACTCTTCTTAGATGCTCCTGGAGTACAGCATCAAACCTCAGCCATCAGCTCCACAATTTTAAGGATGTTTGGCACATACAGCTGATCTGAAGTCCCACGCAGTGCTAGGTTTGGGGTAGCAAGCATGCTCACAATGGCAATGAGCCTTTTCAGAACATTTTGCTAGTAAAGAGACTCTGATGCAATCTTCTCTTGATGCTGATCATCTATGGTGGCCTTTAACCTTAGTCTCATTTCAAGCTCTTTCCACCTATGGAATGCTCTCTGGTGATTTGCTGCCTTCTCACGGCATGCCAGATTTCTAGCCAGATTTTTCCAGTCCTTTGTTCCTGTAGAACCCAATGTGGCTGGAACATTAGACTGGAAGAGTTTGCAACAAAAACAATATGCAACATTCTGGGTTTTTGAGTACATAAGCCATGGCCTCTCCACATTGTCACCATTGGGGATTTCACACCAGTAATGTGTTGCATGGAAACTTCTATTTTCATTGTCTTTGGGGAACACAAAGTCCCTCAGGCTACTGCTCAAGTGGGTCCACAGTCCTGGATCATCCAGACTTAAGGAACTAAACTCAGCAACAGCTGTTTCTTGCGCCTCCACCACACTCTTCTCTGATCTACACTTTTCTTCAGGAATGTGTATGGTTACATCCATTTGAGATGGAGATATGGATGTTGCAGTAGCTGCCAGGTGACCTGCACTCTGACTAACTGGAAGATCAGGCATCTCCTCACATCCTCACTGGCGCCAGAAGACTCACCGTGAACATTTGTGTTTATGTATCTCAGGAGAGCTCCTTCCTGCTTAGATAGAAAAGTTTCCTTTACTTTCTTTTTCTGAATGCTGCCCCAGAGGGGCGTTTTCTTCTTTCACTCATGACTGCTGTTCTGTGCCAGCTATAGGGTCTCTCAACATTCAACTGAAGGGGACAAATACGCAGGCTGGTAACAGGGCCTGAGCAAGGGAAGATATCAGCCTCTTAAGGGCCTAACTGGCTCCTACTACTTCAGTTGACTGCCTTTTCTCCTCAAGTGGGTTTAGGGAAAGAGCAAGAAACAGGACGCTCCCTGAGAAGCTAGTGTTAATCAGTCCAGGCTCCTGGGGGTACTAGAGACGTACAGAGGAGGAGGAGCCTCTTATCTCTCCCTGCAGCTCCTGCTGCTTTCTGTTATTCCCTCTCACCTTTTCTCCTGCCTGCCTGTTATGTCTCTTGTGCCCTCCTTCCTCCAGCACAGCACTCCACCTTCTCTCTGCATCTACAGCAGAGAGAATACATATGCACCAGCAGCAGACAAAATTTTCTACACTCTGGGCCCTAGCGGCACCCCACCCAAACCCAGTCTGGCACCTGAGGCGGCCGCCTCAGTTCACCTCATGGTAAGGCCAGCCCTGCCAACATACCATTGTATGTACACACATACTTACAGGGAGCATTGCTTCAGCCCATTCTCCATGACCTCTCTGAAGAAGCTTGATTCGTTCTAAATCATAACAAACTTGAACGAGGTCACCCACTTGAAACTGTGAGGTACCTCCTTCTGCACCTTGAGCAGCATCTCCACTTCGGACAACATTGGCTTTGGTGAGAACAGCTGGATTAAATGTCCACCTAGAAAATAATATATTTCAAATTAATGATCTTTTCTTTTTTAATATAAAAAGTGGGGGCTATATTTTAAAAGGTTACTTGTTGCCTTAAATTGTGCTTTTGTGCCCAGAAATTTTTGTGATTGGACACTATGGCTTAGCTGCTTTTAATCCCTTCCACTTAGTTTACCAGCTGGTGGTTGCAAGGATAATCTTCTGAGAGGTGCACCTGAAGCAGTCAGAACATTCCCATGGTTGGTTCTTGCAGCCTAAGGGAAAAAGCTGCCAGCCATAAAATGGCAGCTGTGTTGTGACTGTGTTTTGGTTTGTTTGTTTGGGGAGGGGGGTGTGTGGACTTATTACCTAGGGCAGGGATTAGTGGCCTGAGAGTCTGGCATTCCTCTCAAAATACAGGATAACTGATAAGGATGGATTGCTCTGGCAAGAATTGATAGGGAAAGGGGAGGGCTTGGAATCTAAATACAGGGTTTTCTTCTTTCCTCAGAGACGGGGATGGACAGATAGAAATATGCTATTTCAACCAGATGTACGGCCTGCAGCCCGACATTTGGTTATTTTGATTTGTACCATGCAATGTATTGGTTTGTGTGCACTTAGTTCGTGTTATGCTAGTTTACATTCACTTAAAAAAGCAGCACATGACTAAGACAAACATGTGCGTCCAGAGCTATTTTTCTGCAGCTGGTCCATGTGTGTCTAGTACCACAACCCCAGAAAACCAAAAGCAGATTTTGTAATCAAACTGTTGCTTAAAAGGTTACTATGGTAGGAAATGCATTTGTTCTCAATCAAGTGCCTAACACTTTTGAGCACTATACAATTCTCTTTCCATTCATTTTTGTTTTAGAAATATGGAGGTTTCTTATTTTGGAGAAATATAAAGATTATAAATATATACGTTTGTGTAAGAAACCTCTATATTTCAATGAACAAGTTACAGGTTGGCTTTTAATATCATCACACAAAGTATATTGTCTAAAAAATCATGAGACTGGAGGATTTACACCATTTCTCCCTTCAACTAAATGGTTTGCTGAAAGACGGCTGCCTAAAAGTTGAGAAAACTTATTAAAAACAAAACCCAAATAACTAGCTATTGTAACTTAATGTAACTACACAAACATATTCAGGTTGAGAAAAGTAAGTGATCACTTTCAGCTACGCATGTTTTTCCTTATGCTTTTTACTACATTAACAAACTAGGAAGGCAATGCATGCTCACATAGCAGAAAAGCAATATCCTCTAGAGCTTAGGCATTCATGATCAGAACCACTTACGCCTCACTCTCCTTTGTAAAAGCAGCATCTTCAGAAAGCAAGAACCTGTTCAAACCCAAGAGGCGATAAAATTTGCAGCTTGGATTAACAATTTGGAAGAGAAACAAGGATAGGAAGTACAACACTGAGTAGATGGGCTCTGCTGTGAAATCTCATAACAATAAATTTAAGCATCTCGGAGTATATTTATTCTGCAAGGCTATTTATCTTTACTGTTTTGTTCCAAACATAAAACTAAGTATACTTTTATAGTATAGATCTGTTGAAATTACTGGGAGTCTTAATTTGTTCTCCAGTGGTCACATTTGGCAATACATATTATATATGAAACAAGGGATTGTCTGCCTTCATGCTGGACATAACTATCACATTAGCCTCTACTGTATGGTAGTACACTAGTTCTCAAAAAATGCTCCCTAAGGACACAGCCAAAAGAAATAAACACTACTGAGAGCTATATGCAATCATGTTTTCATGGTTAGTGCATGGAGCTGTGAAATATTCATATTGTGAAATTTTTGGAAGTAACCATTTTAATTACTTAGAGAATTAATAACTTTAATAAATACAATTATCTGACAGACAACATACATTAAAATAAAACTCAAAGGGACATTTTAGAAAAAAAGACCTCATATCATAAACACCATGAATATTTAACTGAAGGCAGGTTAAAGGTGAGAAAATTGCAAATAATCTCTTTCCCATCAAAACCTCTCACACATGCTATAAAGATTATCATCATTGGGATGTGGCAGATGGGAACCCCTTATTACACAAGCCAGGAAGAAGACAGAAACTCTTATTTGGATGGTGGGATGTCGTGAGAACCAAAGAAGGGTAAAAAAAAAAATTTTCAAGCCCTGCAACTTGTGAAGTTAAAGGAAGTCTGTCATAGGAAAGGTTTGAGAATATGTAACAAACCTGTTGCCGCTTGGATACTGTACTACTATGTCATGATCTTCATCAATGCCACAAACTGTGCCAGTGGTGGTTAAGGTCTCAAACATGCCATCGGTCCATCCCCCATGACCATGCTGCAAAGACTGTACAATTTCTAAATCAAGGTCAATGTTTACCAGATCACCAATCTGCAGCCCACCAGGATTCCTGTTACCATTTTGCTCACCTGAAATTGAATGAAAAACAAGAACACGAAATATACAAATCAACATCGGTAAGTGCAATAAAGGTAACTTCAAGAAGATATCTAACACCTGCCAAGTGCCCAGTTTTAAAGATCTGCTGCTTGGCACATTCCCTTCCCTCTTAAGTCAAGGTTTACATATGTTGTCTACTATATATACTAAGGAACTTCTGCACCAAACCTCACTAGACCTTATCTTTTAACTCACCTACACCTCAAAAACCAAACTACTCAAAAACAAAACTGCAGCTACTTTTGTAATAAAGACAACCATATACCACCACGCAGCTTAGATACTAGAGTGGTGAGTTCAATGTATAGAATATGTATAGAACCTATATAGAATAGCTCACAACCTATGTAACAAAATAAGCCAGTACGACTAATTATAGATATTTAGTTAGAAACTTGAATGCTGATGACTTCATGTTTACAAATCTGCAATACTGCATTAAAATGATGTTTAAACCATTCTACAAAACTGTGCAATTATCTTTCGCTATTAAGAGAAACATGTAAAAGCTGAGCACATGTAAGCCAGAAACATTAACTAGACAGCCAACTTTAACAACTTACCAGCTACATATTTGGTATACTGTTTGACAAACATATCTACAGACAGTTGAAACATATCAGTTAAGATACCAGTTATCATTGCAGCATTTAACCATGATAATGCACAGAAATGCCACCATTCAAATCTCAATTATTTGTGCATCCCACTAAGGAACGTTGATTAACTTTGGTTCAGTTCTCAAACTTAAATACTGACTTGGGACACTGAAATGTTTCTGTTTACTTAAAACTATCTATTTCTTTCCTTCTCCAACTCACCTAGCACAGGACAATGGTCCCTGTAGAAAGAGCCTCCTTTGGCATCCTGAACACATTTCAGGTCAGACTAAAGAAAGATATTTAGACAATTTTAGTTTTAACAGAGTGAACTTGCAGGTTGACATAAATCTGTGAAATCAGAACAGAAATACACTGAAATATTAGAGGTTGAAAAGCTCATGCATACAAAAATAAATGCATTACGCCAATTCCGAATGCAAAGAAAATTTCAAATATTTTCCAAAATTGTAACCCATCTATTTCTACTACCTATTCCTTTAAGGTAGGGCTGGGCATTGATAGGATTTGATAAATGTTACCAGTATTATCAAATGCTTTAAATTTAAGGCTCAAATTAACGCTTTTAGGATCTAATAAACTACAATGACCAAGAAACCTCATATTCATAATTGCTATTAGAATTGCACAGAGACGCTTTAAACTGTTTCACATTACCTTTCTTTAAAAAAAAAAAAAAAAAAAAAAAAGGCAATCAATACAAGCAGAGGAAGAACACAAAATTAACACTACAGAATTCAGGAATGTCTGAATACCATACTGGACATGATAGCCTTGCCTGTGCAGCATCAGCTTGGGTAAGGATGTGTCAGTGTTGCCATTATAAAGCCTATACATTTTTTGTTTAAGATGTTTATGACATTCATTTTAACTTATTATAGAGTCAAACCTGACTTCTAACTTCTGGGCCCTGGAGAATATCAGAAAAAGCAGAATAAAAGGGTATTTTGGTTGCTTTCAGAATTCTGTGTTTAACTAAAATCAGATTTTTTTTCTTTAAAAAGTTCTACTGGCTATTTCTCCAAAAGGGCCTCTTCCATAACATGAAAAAAATTAAATGTGAAGAACAGCTACTGTATAAACCCAATTAAAAGTTCTCATAATTTCCCCTTCATTTAGCTTCTGCATATCCCCTAATCCAAATTGCTGCCATCTGGTGTTACTCTTTATGGAACACAATTCCCATCAGGCAAAGGTCATTCTATGTTTATGGGGATGGGAAGAGAAAACTGATTGGGCAATGCAATTCAGACTATAGTAATGGGAGAAAGACAACAAAAGAACAGGTGGTGGAAGATATATAAGCTAAACGTGCTTTCATAAAGGCTGTATCTCATTCTCCCGCTTCCCCAGGCCTCTTGCAATGAGACTATTCTCTAGCAAGAGAGATGAACTGAAATCCATTCATGCCTCTCCTGATCCTTAAGTTAGTGACAAATATAATGCTTACAACCCTTTAAACACACAATACCACCTCCTAGCCACTACTATCTCTAGGCGCTAGAAACAGTATGATTTGAATCCTTCTCTCGAATAAATTCTTAGCTTCCTAAAGCTATATGCCACTATTTAATAATGATACTATATATACATCCACGAGAACAGATGCCAGTATAAGCATATATTCATTTTTAAAACTGCACCAAATTTTGTACTCCTACAGCTCCTCTGATACAATGGTCAGTACAGAATATCTGTACTACAGAGTCCACAAAAAGATTTGATTTCAAGATTTCATGCACTTTACTAGGATTTTATATGGTAAATATATACATATAATAGTCTGTTTTATACACTTGCGTTCACTGCACACTACAGTGCGTAACTTGGTCAGTATTTTAGAGAATCTGGTATTGTACTTGCAGAAGCAAGCCAGCTTTCCAATATGTATGGCTTATTCTTGGATAGATAACCTTTAATATATATGTATTCTAAGTAAGCAAAATTTCAGATTGTATCAGACTACAGCAATTCTCTCAATGTTCTGTCAACATAACAAGGAATATTCAAGTCAAAACCAATAGAACGATCATCTTCCCTCTTCTTTATATTATGCTTAACCAATGCTGTTCAAAATTCCACTCCTCCTTTCGCTCAAGGATTTTTCCTGATTACCAGGATAATAAAAATATTGATACTTCGTGCACCAAAGGACAGGTAGTAGATTTTTTTTTCTTGAAGTAGTAACTAACAATTTTCTACCACTGATTTAAAGGGCAGCCTATTAAAACTAATTCTATTTTTAACTTAATCCTAAAAGACACACAACTTGAATGAAGCAGTAACAATGGTCAACCCACCAGTACCTCACTATAGTTGTTCATGCCACGGAATCATGCCAAAACTTAGTACTGACACTAAACTTTAGAAAGATGGCTATTTAAAAACAAGAAATGAGGCTGATCACCCCATGTCAAAAATGACAGCAGAAACAAGTGTTCAGAGATAACTGTCAAAAATAATTAGAATCAATAAGTGTCTGCTGTATCAGGAAAGACTGAAAATATTGGGACTGTTTAGAGAAAAGATGGAGGTACACCAAGTAATGAATGATATGGAGAAGGTGTATCAGACACTCCAAGCTACCCTCTTCTCTCTCTACAAGAACAAGGAGCTTTTCAATGAAACTGAAAGACAGCGAATTTAAAACAGGTAAAAGGAAATATATTTACCAGAATGCATAATTAATACATAGAATTCATTGCCACTTGATGTTGAAGCCAAGAGTTTAGCAGGTTTCAAAAAAAAGGATTTATATGGCAAAAGAAGCCAAGAACATTAGATAGGATTAAAAACCCGTATGCTTCAGGCAGTATGCCAACCGCAACTGTTAAGATGAAAACACCCCTATGAAAAGTTTCCATAATTGTCCACTGCATGGTTTCTTGCAACTCCCTCTTAAAGGATCAGGTTTGATCAGTGCCAGGGACAAGTTACTGGAGTGGACAGGCCACTGGACTGATCCATGAAGCGGTTTCCTCTACTATAGTGTACTACCCTAATTCTGTGCATGAAATTCTCCAGCAATGTCCTAGATGTAATGACAGATTTCTCTTATTCAAAAAATTAACTGTGTCAAAAAGCTTTGTTTTTAATCCTCTTAGAGAATTCTGATCTACTACTTTAAGGTAACCCACAATGTGTCTGGATGAACAGGCCTCAAATGGCAGTCAGGAAGAGAAAAAGTACAAAATAATGCCCAAAGGAAAACAAGGGCAATGGATCCTTTCAGTTTCCTTCACCCTCTCAGCACTGTAACTATTCAAATCTTGCTGGCAAATACCCCACACAGAGATAACTTACAGAGAACTCTGACATTAATGGATGTTAAACCTAAGTTATTTCTTCCAAACTCTCCACAGTTAAGGGGAAGGCCCTTCGTAATGAAAAGAAAGAAAAGGGGGAAGCTAGAACGAACACTGAAGAAATGCAAACAATCTTTAAAGTTATTTAGCAAAGGAAATTTGGTAGCCGAGTGAATAAGTGAATTCCCAAGGCATAAGATCTATTTTAGAAATGTGTAGGTTTAAAGCACCCCATAGCGGTAACATGTTTGTAACATGTTACAGGCTCTAATTTGCTTTTGGATCCAAACAAAATGTTTAAAATCTTTTAGCAACCATGGTCAGTTAACCACATTTCACCTCTGCCAGTGAGCTAAGATGGCAGATGGCTGTGTTCCTTTAACCAGCACCATATTGTTTGAGTGCAGGCCTTCTTCCCCCCAGTTGCATGCAGCAGAGTCCACCACACTGTGCTGCACCCAGTGCTGTTAATGCTTTTCTGAACACATCCTTTTAGCAGTCGATCACTTCCCTAGGCACCATCGGATAACTGCCCTAATTATCCCAAAATTAACATATAAATATGCAAAAACAACAGGAGGACTAGCGGCACCTTAGAGACTAACCAATTTATTTGAGCATAAACTTTCGTGAGCTACAGAATTCAGAATGCATCCGATGAAGTGAGCTGTAGCTCATGAAAGCTGATGCTCAAATAAATTGGTTAGTCTCTAAGGTGCCACAAGTACTCCTTTTCTTTTTGCGAATACAGACTAATACGGCTGCTACTCTGAAACCTATCATATAAATATGGTGTAGCTGGTAGGTGTGGATACACAAAGGTGGCTGTGATGGCAGCACTAAACCATATTTCTTGGTATCTTAAGTGATCATGTCCACTTTCTGGTCACAAAATTATAATTAAAACTTGTAACACGGACAGTGCCCGTTTGCTGCAGACAATGTTGAAGCCTCAGTTCTGTTTCCATCCACAATTATGTCTGATAAACACAAACACTTTGAAACAAATAGTAAGTTACTGAAGAAACTGATTTACAGCAAGTTTTAAATGTAGTGTCAAAAATAAACTGCCAATATGGAAAATTAAAGCACATTTGATATAAAAATGCCAATGCACAGGTTTTTTTAATCAAAGCTTCTTTGTAAAAATGGGTTACTATTCTTTATTAAATGGCTGATCAAACATCTCTGGTTTGTATAAGATAGTATCTATCAAAGAGGCTTCCACGTACTAAACCATTCTATTTATGGTTGGGTTATTAAGAGCTCTAATATCCATTTAGCCGATATTCTACGAATATTGATAATTCCCCCAATTATAAATATTCCCCTTTGAGATTATGAACCTGTTCAGTCAAGTAAGAGGTATAATCAGATTAAAATCAGATGGAGAAGTAACAAAGTGCTATATTTTGATTTTGTCCTAAATTAAACTAGACTTTATCCTGGAAGTGCTGATATGGTGCAAAATTTACTATTTTTACAAAAGCTGCTTTGTCATCCTGTTAAATGTAATTCTTGTTGCAGGAATATGATAGGACATTCTAATATAAGTTAGTATATCTCCTCTCTGCAATATATAACCAAGAAAAAAAATTAACAGAAATGATGCAATGATAATGCTCATTAATATGTCTCAGCAGTTGACAATCAAGTAAACTTTGTTGGCTCACACTAGGGTAAGAGCACATAAAAAGGAAACAAAGATATCAACAGAAGTCTCATGACCAAACCTGACCCACTTTTTGTGGTCTTGTTATACTCTAAAAGTTGTAAAATCAAAATGAGAAACTTCATGCTAAAGTCTGAAACACAATAACTCCAAAGTAGGAAAAAAATACTCAAACTATCTGAAAATGTTTTGAGTGTTCTTCACAGTGAAAATTAAATGACAACTGAAAGACTTGCAGTGTTCTAGTCTCGACATTTGGCATTGCGGAGATTTTCAAAAAACAAGTTCTGAGGCATTAAAGAAAAAGTCAGGGCCTTTTAAGGAAGTTTATAAATAAATATTTCTATTTTTTACCAATTCTAATTGAAGTAAAACATTAATGCTAGGAGGCAAATTGCATTTGCAAATGTAAATATCTGTTATATTCAGGCAGAAGCTAGCTCTAAAGTTTAAATGATTTGCACCGATGTTTAATAAAGTCTCAGATCAGACTTCCTTCCTAATGCATATTCATGATCCATCCAGCTGTATTCACAATAAACTGATTAACAGCATGCAAACAGACAGAAGGATATCACAAAAGGAGAATAAAAGCACAGCATACGCTATTCTTACTACCCTCTCCCCCCCTCCAAGTATTTTACCCTTTGTGTTGCTTTACTCCTTACCATGCCCTCAAAGCCAACTCTATAAAGATTTTTAGCGCCATTGTCCCATAAAACATATGCTGCACTGTGTGGGCTTGATGCACTCCAGTCCTGGATTTCAGTTACCTATTGAATTTAAAAATAGATAAATGTGTTACAAGAGTTTAGCAACATATTTTGAACTTTAAACTTCCTCTACCACTTCTACCTATAGTTAAAAGCATGATATAGCAGGGTTTACTTAAGCTTTTTTTTTTTAAAACCAGAACTCCAGGTCCCCCAACTCCATTTTATCATTTTCTACCAAAACCAACGTTCATACACCTTAATTAATGCTATCCCTAGGAAATAAACATCCAGATTGCCAGTTCCATAAGATACATATTTTTCAAGTAAACTGGTTTAAAAATGGTAGAGAAGTACAAAATGAAATTTACTGGTTTACAACGCTTTTACAAGTCCTTTGTAGTTGTTACTAGAAAAAACACAACTCACTGAAAATACCAAAAATGGCAACAACTTATTCTCAGCACTTGTTTTTGTTTTAAGCTACTTTGGTTACATCAGGCTGGTGGCCTGCAGGTAGCAGTCTGTATTATATGACCCAATTTTAATTCTAATCCCAGTCTTTAAATACTAGGACAGAAGGGGAGTGAAAGATGAAAAGATTGGGTCTTTGTATTTTTTCTTTGCATTTCTGAAATACTGATGCCATGTAACAAATGCAACCCTGAAGAGGCATCCATAACACACAAGCATCTTTTTGAATGTATTGTCTTCATTGTCTTTCTCCTAACACTTATCCAAACGCCTCTCTCACTATTTGCTGTCTCCCTCTTTTCTTAGACCCCATCCTGAAAATATTTGTTCCTTTGCTTTTCTTTAAGCATGAAAATAGTCCCACTAGTTAAAGTTAAGTGAACAAGTGTTTGCAGGAGAAGGACCTAAAGTGTGTGAGCTCTTCAGAGCAGTAATGCCACCTTTGCTTTGTAACATGCCATAGTCATATATGGTGTTATGTAATTAAGCCACTCATCTCCAGATGCGTTACCATGGCTACAACACCCATAATTACTACCACTGGAAAAAGAAGAAATATTTCTATTTTTCAGGTTTCATGGGGAAAATGACTATTCAATATTTAATTAAGTTCCCATTTATTGCTTGTAACTTCCTCTGTGTAGATCTTTCATATATCAATGATTTATTTTAAATCGTTTTAAAAAATAGGAAAATGTAATGGGAAAAAACACAAAAATTGTCAGGGAGATCTAGTCTGAAGGTGCAGTATCTGAAACTCCTTTTAACTTATGTTTTAAAAATTGGATTTCAAGTTTGTTGTTTCCCTTTAGTAATCACCAGATCCCCAAATAGCTAATTCCAGATTGTATATAGATTTTTCATAATACAAGAATACACAGTAACTATGCTTGCACAGCAAAATATTTTATTTAAATTATGTTTAGACAGCAAAATAAATTTGATTCAATGCATCATTTCACTAAAATAATAAAAGTTACTCATTTTCTATAATCTCTCTTATGTATGTTAAAGAAATTGTATTATGCCTTACTTCCCGTCTAAAATCCACATTTATATCAAGTTCTTCTGGGCATATAATTAATTCTCCTGCATATTTTCTACGGTTTCTGTTTCCTAGAGCCATGATTTGTCAATTAACAGAACTGCATCTGATTTTATATTAAGTTCTAACATGCTGAAGAGGTCTTTATTCCAAGACATCAGGCTAGCACATAAAACTATTTCATGAACAAGTCAGTAATGTAGTACCTCCAACTAAAGAACTTCCAGAATTGTCTAAACTCCAAAAAAGCCAAAATCTAATAAAACTGGAAGATCCCCCAAAACAACAGATTACAAAGTAGAAACCTGTTAAGTAAGCACTTAAATTTTAAAATAACCTGCTGAGCCAGTGATATACAGAACAACTTGGTTTGTCTGATAGCAGTGAAGAGAAAGCAAAATTCCTTGTTGTAAAGGCTCATTGAGTGGGTATGTCTGAGAATGTTAGTTTTTACATGAACTCCTGAATGATCCTAAAGCTCACCCAGAATCTTTATTTTTATGAACATTCCAAAAACAGGGAATTCAGGTAATCTGCAAGTCTCATATTTTCAATTTTGATCATTTAAGCTCAAGACTACATTCTATAAGAGTGGTTCTCAAACTTTTGTACCGGTGACCCCTTCACACAGCAAGCCTCTAAGTGTGACACCCTCCCCCGCCATAAATTAAAACACTTTTAAAAAATATTTAACACCATTATAAATGCTGGAGGTGAAGTGGGATTTGGAATGGAGGCTGCAGCTCACAACCTCCCATGTAATAACTTCAGAACCCCCTCAGGGATCATGACCCCGAGTTTGAAAACGCCTGTTCTATAATAACTTACAGCAGTATAAGTGGTACCCCTTTAAAACAAATGCTTTAATGGTAAACAACATTAAGTTTCAGAAGTTTACAGCAATGTAATCTAAACAGCTGTTACCCATAAGTAATATGTGATGTATTTTCTTAAGCCATTTTCATTTTTACCTTCCCCCTACGTCCATTGCCACCATCTTGATCTTCCCATTGCCAATCAACTCCTCGTACCACCCTGGCACCTGCAAAGATTCCTCTTGCTGTAATTTTCTTTGATTTACGACGAGACTCTAACAGCACCCTAAAGTTAAAAATCAAATGACACGTTAATAAAAGCAACTCACAAGAGGTCCTGAAATGGAGCATTTAACCAACACTTAACATTACTGAACATTAAAAGATCCTTCAAAATGAAAAGAACTAGGAAATGCAGGGTTGAGTGAGTAAGTTCATCTTTATGAGAAAGCTCAGCACATTGTATTGAAAATTCAGCATTCTGAAAAATCACATGGTGAAAAGCTCTTCTTTCCATTTCTAAATTTTACTTTTTTGCCATTAATATTTTAAGTAATATTAAGATTATTGGTTTGTATCTCCAGGGTTCCTGGTAGCATCATATTGCCAAAACACTAAAATGTATTAACACCTACATATGGGTATTATCAGAATTGTTAAAGTCAGTAAAGCAGAATACAAACTCATTTATAAACAATGTATTTTTTCCCGTCAGGGCCAGCTCTAAGCAAATTTCAACATCTACGTAAATCTATATTTTCCCCTAATTCTGTATCCTCTTTATTCTGATAGTTATTGTGACACCCTGGCACCCCCCATATTCATCATTGTCATATAATTATGGTATGTTTTGTACAAAGTATGCGTTATGAGGTATCATTCTAAAAGTCTTGATCTGTTGAATGTTAATATCCTGTTGGATTGTATGTGCTATCGTATGTGAAGTTATGAAGTTTTGCTACGTGTCTGTTAAAGATGTTGTGAAGTTGGAAGCACCCACAACAAGCCTTTCAGGTACCACAATGAAGAAGCTAGACAATGCTAATAGCACATCAACAAAGACAATGGCCACGGAAAAGGCTTGCCCTCACCAGGGGATGCTTCAGACAGCCTCTGGATAATGGCTGCCATGACTCATCAAGCATGCACGGGCATGTGACCAGACCACATGATTACTGAACTCCATTTTGATACATGTATTTTTCCAAAAACTGGGCTGGGAACTTGGCTTGGAACAAAAAGGGTTCCCGCTATATGGAAGAAACTATAAAAGGAGGAAGTGACATCACCAAGAGGCCTCACTCCCTCTACAACTCAACACCTGGACACACCTACTTTGATCTGTCTGCGGTCACTTACAATCACTCAAAAGCTATATTTCTGTAGTTAATAAATCTATTTTATATTTTTTTTTTACCTAAAACAGCGTGGGGTGAGTGAAGTGTTTGGGGAAAAATCTCAGCTCAGTTAACAAAGGCTTTGTGCTTATTCCTCTCCACATCGATGGAAGGGACGGACTGGGTAATAACTCTCATATACTGGTCACGTTCTTGACCAGGGCAGGACAATATAGCTCTGGCATCCTAGGCTGGGGATATTTTGGCTGAAGCCTCTCTATTGTTAGTTCACGCATTCATATACACAGCTGGGTGTGGCCCCTGCCTGTGGATGATGGTGTGAGTGCAAGCTTGGAAGGCTTTGCACCTTGTCACAACATCAGAGTGTGAGGAGGGAACCCAGACTGGTAAAACAGAGGGCTCAGTTGTACTCCAGTTCCAGATGGCACCCCGGGTGGCAGGACCCATCACAGTTATATTTTGGTATCAGGCTATTATTCCCCCTTGCTTTCATATTGGAGGTCATTTGACAATTTTTTTTCCTTCCTATTGCACATTTTGGAATCTTTCACTCAATATTTCAACTCGTCTTCCATCACTCTTATTTGTCTGTAGTGCACTTCTCAAAATCTCGTCTCCAGCCCACCCTCAATTTTCTGCAGAATGTAAGTTATATGTCCCCAGTGGATCTGCCTGAACAGGGTACTTCCTTGACTGCAAGTGGAGGTAGGTGTTGGATCATATTAAAGAAGTTCTGTATTAAAATCACAAATGAGTTCGATTCCCCATAGTTTAAATTCCAGGGTATCACTAATTAAGAGGTCTCTTGGTTTTTGGTACTGTTTCTCTCCCTCTATGTGTGAAAATTGCAAGCTGCTAATTGTGTTAGTACATTCTAAGACAGAGTCTGTTCTCAAAGCAATTCACACAGAGAGAGACTCAAAGCAATACTCTAACAACAGAAACAGCACCCAGAGACTCCCCACCCTTTTGTTGTATTAACAATTGTGATTAAAATAGAGATAGAGGATGTATGTGGATGGATGCTTGGTGTGGATAATAACTGAATGATCAGGGAGGTGCCAGCCTAAGAATCCAGTGTCCATCGGCTGAAGAAGGCGTCAAGTGGAAATAACCACCCAACAGCCTCAAGAATGAGAGAACCAAAGAACAAGATGACATCTAGCAGCACGGAGCCGTCAGGAATGTCTCATCTGCTGATTGATTCAGCAACAGCATGATGAAGCAATTCCCATAGACTGGCATAGGAAGAAATTCCTATAAAAATGGACTCTAGAAAGTGAGAACTTTGGGGTCTGATTCTACAAACCAACTTCCAGGAGCATCAGATTAGCATCTGACAAGGCCCTGCTCCCTCCTCATGTCCAGGCCACCTGGCCAGTGGCTTGGCCTGAGCAACTCTAAGGCTGGTAACTATGATAACAACCTTGCAGAACGTGTGCGTGTGTAAATATGAGATTGAATGGAATGTTATAACAATAACTAACTGCTTACTATGATTCTTTCTGTATTCACAATGAATGTGGTATTTTGCCTTTTCACCTTTAATAAGATCCTGCTGGTTTTTAATTTATTGGTATAACATAGGGACAGACCTGAACAGGTAAAATTAAAATTTTCTCTGAAGAGTCACTATTCTGAATGCCCAAACTCCCCTACTCTGTTCCCTAAAAGTCACGATGGCACGAAGTCCGAGATTTTTGGCAGACAAAGCATATCTTTAATCTAAGCAGAACTGTAGATTTCTCCTCTCCACCCCCACTGCCCCGCAACCATTTTAGGAAGAGAATAAAATTCTTCTGCCGAATTTATCACAGTCAGCAGATGAGGAGCCACAGAAGGAATAAGCTGCTATTGCAAACTATGCAAACAGCAGATCAAGTGATTAGTGATTTCTTCTACTTTTTCTGTCCAGCGAATGAATGAGAGTGACGGACTCCATAAAGAGATGTTTTGTTTGGAACAGGATTTTAGCCTTCTGTCAAAAAATTTTTAAAATGTCTACAAAACTGAGAGATTTATCAATGGTAGATTTGACATCAGCATGCAGTTCATTATACTATTCTGGACTCATGAATTAAATTGGCTGAGCTCTCAGCTTACCTTCACCCACTAATGGAATATCTCTAAACACTTACCCCTTTCGAACCTTCCCCCAAATTCCACGGCAAAAAAAAGTTACATATTTTCAGTTTATTTTTCACAGCTAAAGTGGCTCCAACAGCAACAGGTTTCTTGAAGCTAACACATCCTTTCTGTGTATATGAGCGGCATCATCAAGGCAGAAGTCAAACTGGGCTACAGGAAGAAGCTAAGGGGATGAGCACTAAGAGCGCATAAGTATATGGTGAGCCTATGGATTGCTATCACTGCTTACCTCGGAAAACAAGATGAAAAGGGCATGTGCTGAAACAGACTAACTCATAGAAACATTTTGGCTACATCAAATACCTCTTTTTAAAAGGGACTGGAAAGTTCAACTATCAAGCAATATAAAAACAACAAGGAGTACTTGTGGCACCTTAGAGACTAACAAATTTATCTGGGCATAAGATTTCGTGGGCTAATAAATAAATAATAAATTTGTTAGTCTCTAATCTGCCACAGATACTCCTCGTTGTTTTTGCTGATACAGACTAACACAGCTACCACTCTGAAGTAATATAAAGAAGACCATTCTGCCTATCAGTGCAATGGGATTTTAAACAGAAGCAGATTTGAAAAAAAAATATTTGTATAGAAATCAATTTCTCTTCCAGGTCACTTTCTGTGTTCTATTAAATATTATTAAAGACCTGTGTTTGAAAAAGACATCTTCCCCTCCATGACCCAACTTATCCTTTATGCCTCATATTCCAGCGAAGTCATAATTCTGTTTCTAATTCAGCTATCCTGTTGACATTATGTATTTTGGTGCCTATATACTACAGTGGTACAAACATCAGAAATGCACAGATAGGTGAATTGTTAATAAAGCAATTACTTTTGGCATTTAAGTGGTCATGGTTAGGCTTCAAAGATAAGTGAACAGAAAAGTACACTGCGAACTCTACTGGACAGTTTGGAAGCTCAAATTTCATGTCTCTCCAAATGTATACCTGCTATGTGAAAGCTCAGGTACGAAAACACTATACTTAATGTGTATTTGTTTCAGAAAATATATGAAAAACAGTCTCAGTCTTTCACAGAAAGAATGACGACTTTTCATGGACATTACTTGTATATGAAACTTTTTCTTTCACGAAGAAATACACTGTTCTGCCTTCTTTCCCTATCACAACCAGAAGTACAGCTAGTGAATTAGGACTCTGACACAGTAATAATACAGAATGCTGTAAGAAAAAAAAGAAATACTGAGTTTGAGACACCATAATACTCAGCACCTACATAACGATTTTAATCGTAATTCTCAAAGCATTTAACAAAGGGAAAGTACCATATTCCCATTTTACAGAAAGAAAGCATGACACAGAGGTTAAGTGACTTGTCTAAGGCTGCAAAATAAATCAGTGGCAGAATCAGGAACAGAATCTGTGTCTTGAGCAAATATGTTATATCGCTTAACTTACAGTAACCAAATGAGCAGTTAGACAAAGTATGTATCTACAATAAATTATTTCCTGTATTTAAACTCAGGAAAAAAAAAACACATTTTACCTTTCACTTCCTGGTGTGGTTATTCTATAAAAACGATGCCTCAAGTGATGTTTGTCCCCATGATAACAGACTGTGCATAGGTCATAATTTGTGCATTCAGCACATTTCCATCTGATGCCAATGATTGGTTGCTGTCGACAAGTATCACACATAGTCCCATCATGCTTGATACCTATGAAAACAAGAATGTAACACCAGTATGATTTTTAAAAATACTATTTAGATCTTTATTGCCATTAAAAATTAAATTAAATGTGTTATCAAAGAATACTTGAGCAAGCAGGTTCACTAGGGGCAACCATATTAGCCCATGCCAATCAAGGAATTATGGATAGGGGAAGAGGTTTGGGGACTATCCTTCATCTTTCTGGTTGCTAGTCCATGGCTGAAAGGTCCTTCCCTTCTCAACAATTAAATATATATTACTGACCACATTTATTTTTTCCCAGCTACATACTCAATACAGATATTCTAAGAGGAAAGATAATGAAGTTTCCCTTAACTTCTAGAGATTAAATTGTCAGAAATCCCCATCAAAAATACTAATCTCTTGGGGAGTTTTAACTGTCAGGCTAATTCTCTACTAATGGCTCAATAAGGAACTGTAACAACTACTGTGCAGTGACACAGTCTATGTTAAGGATCTAACAGTTGATGTTTTAGTCTGATTTATATTTAACAGCCGCAGGACAACAAAGGACCTTAAATTCTGTCCATCTATATTTTTAACCACAGTTTGAAAAATGTACTTGCCTGTGATCAGTAGGAAGCTCTCATGGACAACTGCTATTATTCAATAGAATCTATGCTTTGATTTTTAAAAAATTAAGTTGCTAGCTCTTTTGGTTATTAAGGTAACTTGCAAACCTGAACCACGTGCGAACCGCTGGAGCGTTGTTTCCTAAGTCTGCCAAAAGAGAGCTCCAAAGCCTCTCCATATGCTCATAGCTTTTCCAAGCTATAGCAGAGTAAGAACCAAGCAGGCCTAAAAGTTTTCACTGCTGCTGTTCAGAACCCTGTGAACAGCAGTGAAATGCAGAAGAATCTAGTCAGCTTCACTCTGCTGCTGTTAGGAAAGTTATGAGCACCAGAAGCGATAAGCAGTGGTGCTATTCAGTGGTCAGGACAACGCAAAAATGGATGCTAGACAAGGGTTATAGTAGCAGAGAATCCGCCCCAGCTACCCAGCCTTGAGACAACTAGGCATCTCTGACATTAGAGAGGAAACAGACAAAAAAATAAAAGGTTCCTTCTCTTGTCCAGAAGGAACAGTGGTTTGGAAGTGAGGGCTTCAAATTTATCAGCTACCTACTAGCTAGATGCTGATTTGAAAGATGGAACCCTCGTGCAAAGTGGCCACAGTGGTAGGAACCAGTACTCCTTTTCCAACAGCTTGAGGGAAAGGGACCGCGAAGGGGAGGAAGAGAACTGCCTTCCCACCTGGCCACTGCTCCGAAACAAATATCCTCTCACCCCATCTTTTGTCATTCTTTGCCTATAAAGATATATGGCAAACATCTAAGCTTGCGTGTGAAGATTCCCCCAGACCAGGAACAGTGGAAAACAGTCATAAGGCTGCCTTCTGAGGACCCCCTTGTACGCCCAGGTATAGTAGGCAGTCCAGAAGGAACAGTGGTTTGGAAGTGAGGGCTTCAAATTTTGGGCTTGCTTTACTGCAGAATTAACTTGAACCCTATCTATACACAAAAACCCTTAACTCAAGTATGGCAGTGCTCTTAACCTTAGTTGGCTGGCCCGTCGAGGGGTACAGGTTAAAGCTCAAGTTAGCACAATTCATCAGGTGCTAACACAACTACTTTGTGTAGTTCAACTTATTTCAAAGTATGGTGCTCTCACTGGAAGTAGGCTAACCTGCGAGGAGTTAACTCAAATTATCTACACTTGATTGAATTCTGCAGTGAAGACATAACCTCAGACACACTGTCAACTCAAATTTTCTTAAAATTTAAAAAATATCCAGTTTCTGATACAGCCCCATTCAAACAATATGTCCCACTTGGGCTTTTCCCCCCCTTCTTTTCCATCCCTTCCTTCTACCCCCCACCCCACACTTTTTTCTTTTTTTTTCTCTCTCTTAGAAAGGAAGGTTTTTCTGTTCCTTTGCTGATGTTTATAGTGGTCTTTTCAGTAAGGAACTTTAGATAAGCTATTACCAGCAGGAGAGTGGGTTTTGGGGGGGGGGTGAGAAAACCTGGATTTGTGCTGGAAATGGCCCAACTTGATTATCATACACATTGTAAGGAGAGTGATCACTTTAGATAAGCTATTACCAGCAGGAGAGTGGGGTGGGAGGAGGTATTTTTTCATGCTTTGTGTGTATATAAAAAGATCTTCTACACTTTCCACGGTATGCATCCGATGAAGTGAGCTGTAGCTCACGAAAGCTTATGCTCAAATAAACTGGTTAGTCTCTAAGGTGCCACAAGTACTCCTTTTCTTTTTGTGAATACAGACTAACATGGCTGTTACTCTGAAACCTCCTTTTGTGGATTCCTTCTCACTTGCCACTCTAACAGTACTAAGGTGCTGATTCCCAAATTCTAACACCCCTCTCCCCAATTTCTTGCTGTTGTTTGTATTACAATAGTACTTAAACACCACAACTGAGATCAAGGCCCCCTTGTGCTAGACAACAGACAATTACACAGTGAGAAAGAGCTTCATCTACATAAGACAAGAAGCCAGCATAGAGGTGACATGACTTACCCAAGCAAGGTCACACAGCAGGACAGTGACAAAACACATTAGAACCTAAAGGTCCAGAGTCCTAATGCTGTGTCCTCTCTATTAGACTATACTACCTCCCCGCTGCATCCCCTTCTTTCCAAATTTCTATCGCTTCCACAAAAGGAACTGTGACATGAAGAAGAGATTTACCACTCAACCCCAACTCCAGCTACCCCCTGGCTCCCCATACAGGTGTTCTATGAAGAGGAGACATCCATTAGCCTAAAACTCAGAAACAACAACTCCCCTAACTCCTCTTTTATTGCAAACACCCTCATGTGGAGCCTGACATGAAGCAAAAATATGAGCTTATCCCAAACAAGTGCAGAAGAATGCTGTCATCAGGCTAATACATGAGACAGAAATAAATACTATCTACAAGTTAAGTCAAAAATACAAAAACTGAAAAATAGCAAAAAAAATGGTGAAAACCTCCATAGTCACTTGCAACTACAGTAGCTAAGAACTTTCAGATACATTTCAAGTTGACAATACTCCTTTGAAGTCTATACACTGGATCAAGAACAGCAGGCATTTAAGGTACCAACCCTGCAGACACATGCAAATACTTAATTTTAAGCAGGAGCAGGCCCACAGGTTTCAGTAGGATCATTCATGTGAATGAAGTTAACCACAAGCATAAACATTTGCAAAATCAGGATCCAAGACTGAAACACACACACACTCTCTTTCCTTATTGTTTCTGTAACAATTCAAAAAAATTTTCAGCTTACGTTTCTAAACCATATCCCTACTGAATACTCAGTCCAATCCTACCACAGCAAAAGGATATGTAGAGAAGAACAGTGCCACATTTAGAATCATGGGTATCCATCTCAAGTGTTCAATATGACTAAAGTTTTTTCTCTATTGCACATTTGTATTAACAATTTTAATAAGTTCTGTGTTTCTGTATCTTATGAAGTCTGCTAAAGAAATTAACAAACATCATAAGCTTTCTACATCATTTTTCTTTGTATCTATAATTTGGACCAGTGGCCTTCTCCTCCTCCCATTCATTTTCTCTTCTCAAGGCAAAATGCAAATATGAGACATGAAATGAAAACACTAGGAATTCCAATAAATCTGACCAATTATCCTTCCTCTGAACCAATCCTGTCAGGTAAGCTTATGCCCAAATTTTAATTTAAAAAAGAAGGGAAAAAAAAGAAAAGAAGAGCCCACTAGAATTTTTCTTTTTCTGAAAGTTTAAATGAAAACAGGGGTTTTGGCTTTTGTTAGCCTGAACATTCCCTGTAGTATTTACACCACCAAATTGGCCGCATAGTGTCAGTGCAGGAGAACATGAGAGTTAAACCAACAGCTCTAGACTCATTGTCCAAGTTGAGTAAATTCAAAGCATAAACAGATTAGCAAATTTTAAAAACTTAATTATTTTAACTGAGTGTTAACATTCTCTGGCTGTTTCCAAAGTAGAAATGAAGTGTAATGTAAGTAAGATATGTTTTAAATTAGCTGATGAGTTTAGCTCTAACAAAGGGCTGCTGCCAGACATCTTGCTGCCCTCAATACAAAGTGACTGAACCAGTTTGAGAGATTTTTAGAATAAAAAGTAAAGATGAAAGAAATCTTGGGTCCCACCGCCTCCCTCCAACCCCACCCATTCCTGCAGAAGAACTGTTCCCTATTGTACATTTACTAACGCTTTATCTAATCACGATTTAAAAGTCCACAACAGAGACGTCCAGGCTACTTCCCCTACAGCCTACAACGCCCCGCGGCTGAAGTTCATCCCATCAGTTCCAGCGGGAGGATTTCGGACCCTGGAGAGGAAAAGAGAAAGAAACCACTGGTCCAGTCCACAGCACCCCCGCTCTGACCGAGCACCCCAGCCCCTCCTGCCCCTTGCCCAAACGGGGCGAGAAAGAAGGGAGCGCCCTGCCCCGCTCCGCGGCCGGGCGCCCTTACCGGTGGGGGCGCTGTCCAGGATGCGCAGGTCGTAGGCCCCCGAGCAGCGGTAATTGGCCGCGGTGCCGTTGTCCCAAACCACCACCACCTCCTCGGGGCTCTCGAAGCTGCGCACGGTGCCCACGTGGCCCTCGCCGCCGTCCTGCTTCCCCCACTTCCAGTCCGGGCCCCGCGCCACCCGGGCCCCGACCCCCTCCACCATCACGCGGTTGTTCCGGGCGCTGCTCATGCCGGGGCCGCTCCTCGCGCACGGTGGAAGGAGGCGGGGGCCCGGCGGGAGGCCCGGCCACGGGGAGCGTCTCCGCGGGGGCTGCACTGGGGGAGGGGAGCGGGGCCTCTCCGCTTGGCCGGGGCAGCCGGCCGGTCGCTCTGCAGGGCGGCGGGGGCAGGATGCGGGTCGGCGCAGGCTCTGGCTCTCCCCCCGGGTCCCCGCGCTGGGCGCTCCTGGCTCGAGCCGCTCGCCACTCGTCTACACGTCCCGGGGGCAGGAGCGAGCCTGACGCTGCCTCATCCACTACATCCGGGCACCTCGGCGACCGGGAGCCGGGGGGCGGGGAGATAGCGAGACCACCATCGCCGCCTCATCCTCTGGCCAGGAACACACACGGCGCATGCGCGGCCGCCTGGCCTGCCCCTCGCGGCGCATGCGCGTCTGAGGCCCCTGTGCCTGAAAGGAGAACGGTGCCACGCAGGAGCGGGACGCTCATCAGCGCCACCTAGGGAGAGGAGTCGAGCGTTGCACACGGCATTGGGGGGGTTGGGCGGCGCGTGGACCGCCCTGGCTTCAGTCTATTGGCAGGATGGGCACCACCTCAACCTCTTTGATGCAGTATCATGCACATCCACTGCTCTCTGTGGAGCTTTACATTTGCTGCGGGTAGTAAAAGTCCTCGTTCCCAAAGCGGGGCCTCTAGCCAGTACACATACGTAATAAAATAGTGGTGCCTTGCACCCCCCTGCAGCTGGATATTTTTAAGTTTCCCCTAATTTTCTTAGAAGAGGATTCACATGGTTTTGGGACCATGGCAGCCGGCTTCGCCCTGCCAGCATCTGCCTCTACAGCTATACTGATTTCAGCCAGGACAGCATGGAGCTGCTACCAGGCAGTTATGGGCATTGGAGGGAGGAGCAGGGGAAGAGGGTAGGGCACAGTCAAGAGGAAAGCATATACTGTCCCTGCAAGTAAATGTCACTGTAGTGGGAGGAAAGGGAAACCATGGGGAATGGGGGGGGGGGAGGAGAATGGTGAGCTGTGGGAAGGAACATTGTTTTCAAGGGATGATTTTTCAAATCAGCCAACTGTCTGGGGCAATTTGATTCTCACCTTCTAAAAATAAAATAACCTAAAATTCCTCAACATGCCCATCAACCTATCCACTGACTGCGGGGAGGGTTGTCTAATGGCAGCAGGACCCTGCTTATTAGGAGGACTGTTCCTGGCAAAAATGGTCACATGTTGTCAACTATGCTTTGGGAGAGAGAGAAAGCAGAGTGAAACCGGGAAAAAGAAATAAGGGGAGAGATCAGAGGCAAATGGAGGAGAGGGAAAGAAGGTGAAAGAGAACAGAGAGGGAGCTTGGAAAAAAATACGGTGAAAGAACTGCAAAGACAGCGAGAGAAGGAGAAATAATAGCTTTGAGAGAGAGGCAGAGAAAAGGAGAAGACACCTGTGCAAGATGTAATGTAAGGAGTGCTGGGGATAGAGAGACTCAAGTGTAGATACTGTACATCGGAAATGGGGGCTTGAGAACAACAGATTTAATTGGATGAGGTTGACAAACTCCATTAAGGAAATGTAGAAGGCTATGAGGACCCACTCTCCTTTACTATCACAGCATGCAAATATAGGAATTGCCTTTTGTGTAGTTATTTGTATCAGAATATTGGGATCAGGAATACAAAACATATTGCTTCCCCCTTGCGAGGGTTTCTTCCAGATCTTTAATGGCTTTGAACTCACATTTGCCCTCATACTATGAAACTCGTGTTCAAAGCAAGATTAAAATAGAGAAAAGATGAAGATTATATGAGATCATCACTGTGAGAAGATGAATTTTTTCACAGCTGCTTGATTACAGGCTCAGGAAATGTCCTTTTTTTTCTTTTTACTCACATTTTATGACAAGTCTAATAGGCAACGAAGAGCATGACAATCCACTAAATAAAAAGTTCACTAGCTTTTTTGGCATAGGACCCTGTGCAGGGGATACCAAATAGAAGGAATACTTCACCACAGCCTTAATGTTGAACACCTATCAGAATTTCCATGCATAGTTAGGGCCAAATCTCTAAAGGCAATGGAACCCTGCCATTCCATTATGCAGTTAAAGTAGACTGAGGTGTGGCCTGACAGGATTCTACGTATCCCATGCTCACTTTGGAGTTCTAGCTCTGCAGCAGTGCAGAAGGCGGAGTTGTGTGCGTGTTGGAGGAGTGGCAGGACAGAGGAGGCAATGGAGCTAGTGCCTTTGTAAACCCCAAGGTAGGTGGGGATGCAGCAGGCACGACAGCCCAGAAGCTATCATAGTAGCTATGCTAAGGGTTCAGACACTGAAGGGAAAAGGAGTATGTACCCTCACCCAACTCGGGCCCACCATGAAGTTCCCCTGCGCAAAACCCCGACTTTGCGCAAAGATCTAGAATATGGCTCTTAATAAATCTCCACACGCACATATTTCACTCTAAAGATTATTCTTGGGTTTCCTTTAATTCCACACATGCCATGTTGATGTTTATCCATCTTAAAAAATGTTTCCCCCTTCAATTCTAATAAGAAATCAAATTGTGATTGACAGAAGATATAACTAAAAGAAGACTGACTGATGTTGTCTCATTGTTCTTGTCTGTCCTTACAAGGATTTGCTATGCTGAGTATTAAGCATCCTAGGCAGGATTAAGTGATTAGGCAGAAGAGAAAAATAACTGCTAAAAGGTAGCTGTGCTTGCCTCATAACTAGGTTATTATTTCCCTTTCTGTACTTCCTTTACACACCAGCGGTAGAAGAGCTTATGAAAGCATTTCCTGACTTTTCTTGCAAACAGCTTTCTCACAGTATAGCACAGTAGTGACACAAAACTTCTAAACAACTATAGCACTGATCCCATTAGTCACTGTTTCCTCCACCATACTAAGACCCCAAAGTATTTGCTCATAAGGAATATCTTCTTTAATATGAAAATGTATCCTCTGTGCATCCATTCCCTATCACAGAGTTTGATTTCCACTTCTTCAGTGGAAGTCTTAAAAGATTAACATGTATCATGCCAGGAAGGTGTGTCATTCTTAAACTGCTTGGATGTCTTTATGCTGAGAGTGAATTTTGCTTGTACCAAGCTTATTATGTTAGTATGTGGCGTTTTGCAGCCATTCAGCCAGAACGGTACATAAATTCATAAGAGTTGTGAATGGCAAATTACCAGAACATTTTCTCTTTCCAACTGTGGGTCTTTGATGTACTGAGGATCCATTGATGGCCCTAGGATCATAATTTTCTCATTTATTCATTCTACTTTTTCGATATTGATTATCAGCAAGCGTAGAGCTGGTGTTCCTTGCTGAGGATGATCTAAAACACATACTTTTTATTACCCTTTGGCTAAAATTGTTGAGGAGGTCTTCCTTGTGCCTGAGTGAGAGGAGTTCAGTGCTTTTAAATAATAGTGTCCCTTCCAAATCTTGGTCCTGAAAAGATGAGTACTCATGTTAACAAAAGAACTGATGTGGTGGGATGTTTTGTTTTTAATACAATTCTTGGGTTAACAAGATTAAGCTGCAAAAAGTATGGACAAATTCTGGTTTCAAGGAATGAGCTATCCATAGCACATAATTAGATATGACAGGTGTAGAGGCTGTGTGAGGAAAGACCCCTGGGAGGTAACAAGTATGATGATGTCTCAACGATCCTTAGGACAAGAGAACACACCTAGATAGAGACCAGTCATAGGGAAGTGGCTTACAGGGTACCCCCTTGTGGCCTCAGGGTGACCACACCAGCAGCCCCGACATCTATTTCCCTCTTCCAGAGTCCCCAGTAACTCCACACAAGCTTTCTAAACATAAATAACCCATTGATAGGTTAATTACAAGAGTCCCACAACCATAGTCCACAATTTCCCAGCAAAACCCAAACACTACATTCAAGGTCCAACAGTCTATAAAAAGCAAATACAGCTCTGCCATTTCTCACCATGTCCCAGCTCTCTGGTACAGTTCCAGTATCTCACCCCACCTAGACTCTCAGATACAGTGCTGCATCTCTCACCACATCTCACCCCAGCCCCTCTAGCTGGGGTGCATCTCTGCCCTGCTTCATTCTCAGGGTTGGTTCTAGCTCTTGCCAGGAGACATTAGCAGGCTCACCCCTGATCTCATCATTATCCCCTAGCCTTCAGCCCCTTGGGATCTCCAGCTTCATCTCGCTGGCTGAGAGAGCTAGCAGACATCTCCCTCTTCTGCTATCAGCCTTCTGCCCTCTCTGGCCATGGCTCTCTGGCCTGGGGAAATTTGTAGGTGACCCCTTGACTGCCTTCTCCTTTCATCAGCCTGATTTGGCTCCACTCCGGAGCTCTCACCACTCCCTTCTTCAGCTCTCAGCCCAGCTCTGTTTCTGAACTCTGACCCTCTCTCTAGACTCTAAGTTCTGGCCTTTCCTTTGCCTTTAGGCTCGCTCTCATCTGTAAGTCCCAAGTGCAGCCCTGCCCTCCCCATTTCACCAATCGACCATGCACTTGGACTGGGATAGGAGAGCTGGGCTCAGTTTCATTTAAGGGGCCAGATACCCTGTTAAGAGAGAACTGAAACTATGCCAAATGTGCTTATCCTGTGAAAAGCAGGAGTCAATACTTTTAACTGGAATCACAATAAGGACCTTTTCAACCTTCTCCCTTATGGCTTCATTGCCTCTCTTCCCACACTAAACAAAATGCAGATTCTCAAATATCTATGAAAATGTCACTTTAGTCACTTTCTGTTTCTTATTGCATTGAATTCATATTTTTCATCTTTATACTCAAGGTCCTATGTACACCTCCGCCCGCTCACCTCTTTGCTCTTGTTCTCTTTTATTTACTTTTTCATGTCCGGCTGTGCCCCTACCTTTCCCTCTTTCTTTCCAAGTCAGGTCCTTGAATAGCCCCCATCTCTCTGTGAGCCAATTAACCTTCAAATTCCTCTCAAAATTCACTTCTTTTGGTTAACGTTCTATTACTAATCTCTACTCTAATGATCTCTCCTCTGGCTGGTATCAAAGAAAGAAAAATATGAAACAGAACTATTAAGTGATCAGTTAAAAAAAAAGTTCTCCCAAAAACTATTCCCTTCCCCTCCCTCTGTTGAGTCTTCTTAAAGCTACACCAAACACGTTCCTCACATGTTCTTGTCAACTGCTGGAAATGGCCCATCTTGATTATCACTACAAAAAGATTTTTTTCTCTCCTGCTGGTAATAGTTCACCTTAACTGATCACTCTCATTATAGTGTGTATGGTAACACGCATTGTTTCATGTTCTCTGTGTATATAAAATCTTCCTGCTGTATTTTCCACTGCATGCATCCAATGAAGTGGGCTGTAGCCCACGAAAGCTTATGCTCAAATAACTTTCTTAGTCTCTAAGGTG